GTACTGGTATGCAGCACTAGTGTTGGGTACAGTAACGTTAATCTACTAAAGACTAGTATGGAGACAAGACTGCAATAATTTAAATCCATATTTTAAGAATCCAAATTTAGAAATGGAAAACAATGACATCTAACGTTACATGTACTGGAAGGCCAATGCCAGGACAACACAGGCATGACAAGGTTAATTCAAGGTTTACAAATTATTAGACTTTGTCAGTCTCAGGTCTACAAATACTAGTATGTCAGTGACTTCCAACTGAGGACACCATGCAGCCCTATTTGACCCCGTACGTGACTTTTTTTTTTTTTTAACCGTAATTTTAACGTCATTTTTCCCCAGCCGGGGGTTAGACGTGCTTGCACCAGGTACAAGTCTTTTTTTTGAAGCAACATTTTACGGCTGGATGCTCTTCCTAACGCCAACCCAAACCCTAGTAGGGCCCAGGAACCCTCTAACTGAGGGGGGAAATGCGTGTTAAGTGCCTTTCCCAAGGGCACAACGTCTGGGTGCATGTCCGGACATGTCTGGGTCCAACCCTGGGGATTGAACCTGGGTCTTGCGGTTGACAGTCGGATGCTCTATCCACTACACCACACAGACAGGAATGTAGACATTTATAATCTTAAAAGGAGTAGTAAGTCTGGAGGAGGTTTTCTAGTCATAGATACATGTACATTGTCATTTATCAATGAATACGTACAGTCAAGCTTGCCCAAGCAATCACCTCAACAAACAATATGATTCTATAAGCTGGCTGTTTTTTCTCATTTCCCTTTCTTTGTACAGTGTACTTTCTGCTGTCGATGATATACATTGTTTTTTTTTCTTCATATTTCGTTCCATATCGCTCCATTTCACACTTTCTGTACACTAGCTGAACCATGAAATTAAATTGATTTGGCCTTAAGGCGAGGGACACAACCCAAAAACTGTATATGACTGTCTCTTGTCATGTGATTATCTCATCAAGTCACGTGACAAGAGAACTCCAAGACGAGATCTTAATCGGGTTGATGAAGAGACAGAGTACGTCTCGAAAGCTCCCCGGCATAGCTGAACTTTCGTTGTGTGTGCATTTTAATTTTTTGGTTTGAATGATAATTTTGATTCTGGAGTGTCCAGCACGTTTTTGTTTGTGTGCAGGAGTTGATGATCGAGTTTGACATTTCTCTGCTGATGGCCACACGTGCACTGTACTACAACTGTGGACATGTGGGCGCCACTAGAACATTCCTCCGCACTGGCAGGAGACCTGATGGTGAGTCTGGGTAACACTTAAAGGTCACAGGTCACAGCCCGGGCACCACCCGGCGGTTTGCGTGAGTGAAAAGTATGATAAAAATGAGTAACCTGAAATTCTAAATCCCTGGGAAGTATATGATGCATGATGATCACAGTGATAGCTGTAAATCCCAGGTATCACTTAACAGTAATGCTACAAGAAAAAGATGGGTGATGTCACAACCATAATACACAATACAGGGTAACCTCCATTGAAAATAGTGTGGTACAGTCCGGGTATAGTGTGGTATCGGGTGCCCGATAAATGATACTTAATGGCCTAGGGAAAAAAATGTTGTGTTTCTGTTTCCCGACCGACCCTAGAAAAACTGCCAACCCTAGCCTATTTTTTGTGTGGACTCCTTCAAGACATAATTTTCAAGTCGATCGACCATTTCTAGTTCCATGATCTGACATCTGAGTGATGAAACGTTGTACTATCGGTTTTCCAACTTTGATATTGAAAATAGAAATGTGCCCATGCAAGTTTTACTTTGATAAACTGTATTGTATAAGTTGGGTCACTATAGATCGCCAAAGTCTAATAAAAAACAAGAAAGAAAAGATAATCCCTACCTACCGACCCTAATTTTTTCATGACTGAAACAGGAAACACAACATCTTTTTTCCTAAGCCTAACAGATGTCTTGTAACAAACAGGTGAGTGGCCCCTTTGCATGCACCCCCATTTGAACCCACTTAAAAATGGTGGAACCAGATGGATTTTGACAGACCCTTTCACAACAGCCAACACCATAAAACGTTACCCACATGTCACAAGCTTGAACATTCCTATCATGTTATGCTGCTGATTTATAGAATTTCCTCATAACTTATGCAAAGTACATCCAGATTTGCATAATTGTCACATGATTATGTCAAGTATCACTTATTATATAATAAGCTACCTACGTTCCAAAAATCATTCCATCAACCGGTTATTGAGTTATCCTATTTTGAACATTATTACTAGTAATCAAATGCCCCTGCAGTTCTAGAGCAAGCCACCAGGGGGCCCATACCTACGTCACTTCTTCCCCAGCACAAGAGCTACCTATCATCCAACTTTCGTGACCCTAGCATGTCCAGATCACAAGATATCAAAACGTTCGGCTGCAGTACAATAAGAAGCCACTAGCCCGGGCCCAAAATCTAATCATTTTGATCTCACATCAAGACATTTAAGCCTTATCAAGTTATTGTGTTTACAGACAGACAAACACACTGACGCCTCTGAAAACATAACCTTCTTGGCGAAGGGAATAAAGACTAAGCTTTAACTTCCAATACTTTTTAATTAAACAGTACAAAATGCAAATTGTATGTTGTATTGCTCAAGTGAGCAAATTGATTTGAAAAAAGACATGCCAAAGAATTTGAATCAACTTACTCATTTCAAAAAAGTCAGGCTACTGGATACTGAGAGTCGTAGTCCTTAGGAAGGGCAATTAAGCTGTGGTCCACTGTTCATTGTGCTTGTCAAAAAGAGCTAGGGGAATTTCCCCCTGGTACAATGAACCTGTAAACACCAGACATTAGTGTCTGTCTTCTCTGTCACAACCAGTGGGAGAGTAGTTCTTCAGTCAGCTAAAACTTTCGGGGGCACACCCCAGTTTATTTTGGTTTATTCTGCACACCCTCAACTCTAGCAACCGTCTCTTTCAGGAAATAATTCTTAAAGGACAAATCCAATACTTTCAGTTTTCACATCTGGCGCTAGCCGGGGAACATCGAGCATGTCAGATATCACCGCAAATATGTGCGGGGTTGGCAGAAACCAATAAATCACCATTTACAAATCACTCCAGTTAATCACTCAAATTTGAGTAAATTTTAGGGGGAGAAGGGATTATACGATGAAAAATGATGCCGAAAATGGGCCATTTTCATGTGAAATCAAACCCATCACCCATAATTTAGCCACTGAAATGACTTACTTGTCGGAAAGACAAAACCCTTATGTAATAAAAGTATAAAGAAAATCCTAACACTGACTGCTGCAGACCCCTGTGGCAGGGACAACAGCAGCAGTATAATCTTATCCTGGATAGTGAGTGTGAGATCATAATAGCCCGTCGCACGGGGAATAGTGACAGCACCCCCAAATGCATAAAAGGCATATCTGGGTCAAACTGAGGCACCGCACGCAAGGCGGAAGGACACCTGGAAATAAGCCTCGGGTCTAAAATCAATTTTCACCCAAAACACACCACTTCTTACACTTTCCAGCCATGTTAGTTAAAACCATTTTGCAGCAGATTATGAGAAATGTGAACTCAAACATGAACCATCGAAACCCCTTTGTCACTTTTTTTACTGCACGCTACCACAGACCTCTGTCATGGAAGAATTGGTGCGTGCACCATTCCTTGTTTACATGCACTGACTTGCACATGCACGTCATGCTTGCCCTTGCTCTTTCCTTGGAGTCCTTAAGATTTATCATGAGTCCTTGAGACCTAACTGTACGTATGACTTGTTTTTGTTTTCTGCAGACATTCCCAGGCCTGGATGGAGTAGAGCTGATGAGTCCCTGCACTTTGACAGTGTACAAGGAGAACCAAAAGAACTGAATTCTGCAGATGAACCCAGTTAGCGGGGCAGTGTGTACAACNTAAGCTGCATAGTCAAATGTAATTACATTGAAACAGTTAGTTTGTACTGATGAGAATCGTACAGTGAAGCTACAGTATTACTGTTTTCAGTCGTGAGCCATTCCTGAAGAGTGAGAAGGTAGCTATATTGAAGTATGTGGCAGAGAACTCTGACCCAGGCAGACCAGTGGCCGGCAATAAGATATGGAAGGAGATGGAGCTGTATAAGGTATAGTGTTTATAACTAAGGGTTAATGTCCCGCCCCGAGGTGAATATGGTGTGATAAAGCCTTGTCAGTTGCTATAACCACCGAATAAAGCCACCAAGTGAGCGCAGCGAACGAGGTGGCTTTATGAGGTGGTTATAGCAACTGACAAGGCTTTATCACACCATATTCACCGAGAAAGGGCGGGCCATTAACGCTATTATCATATAGCTTACACGATAGCCTATCCAAACTGATGCAGTGAAGAGTGACACAATGTACAATTTACCCCTTGCACATGCTGAATAGAACATAGAATATTTGTTCCATCTGGAGTCACCTGAGGGCACGGTAGGGTTCATGTTCTAACTGGGTCACAGGCAGGGAACAGGTGTTCTTATGGGAGTCACCCGAGGTCATCGATCGGAACACAACTCGAGTTATTTTTGGATTTTTTAGAAGTAGAGCCGTGTTCTATTGGGTCACCTCAGGTCATATGCGGGTGATTATTCATTTTGTTTAATGTATGGATTGGGATTAATAAATACCCGATTTTGACTCTATTTGTGACATTACGGCGACATAAAGAATGTGGAATGGAGCCTTCTGATTGGTCAACGTCACCCGGCTATATGATAATGAGAATTAATCGAAGAAATTAATTCACTAGAATTTTCAACCAAACCACTCGGTATTCACTTCAACCTTCTGACCCAATGTACAAGTGTTGTAGACACATGATTTTTCCTGACATGTTCTTCTGAACTCCTTCAATAAGAACTTACAGAAACTTTGCATTTAACTGTACCTTTTTGTTTATGGAGAAGTCTAAGACCAGATATGGGTAAAATTAAGATGTTTTAGTCTTCACCTCCTACCTTGGTGGCCTCATACCACATGTACGTGTACCGGATCAAAGTGATATAAACTAACTAGAGGTCGGAGAAGTGATATAAACTAACTAGAGGTCGGAGAATTCATGTCTTCGTCAGAGGTACATTGTTCTAGAGAAATGAACATGTGTATTCTTTACTCTTTTTAATAATCAATTTGGTCTAAAGTACAAAAGAATCTCTGTACTCTTTTTATACTACAGAACACCCTGAAAGGGTTCGCCACAGATTTTACAGACGCGCCGTCACCCGTGTTAGACCCCCACCCTACGTTATTTGATTTTGGACTGTTAATGGAAAAAAAACTTACTGTATTCTGATGAAAGTGTTAC